TTATATAAATATGAATGAAATCAAAAATTGTCTTCATGTGGTTTTCTTAGAAAAACCAGGTTACTCTATTTTGGAACTGACCGTATATACCAATTTTATAACTACACCTACTGGTGATTTGTTTTAAGTTTACTTGAACTTAGAATTGTATAATATAAGTTATATTATAATATATAACACTTTCCCGTTCATGTGTAGTTCATTTTCAAGTAAATAAACTAAATATAAAGATACATTAGTAAAGCATCCAAATCTAGGTGGTAAAAAAGACCTTTATAGTCACTATCATAGTTAACAAAAAGTGATCAAATAGTTGGTTAAATAGTTATTTATTTTTCAAAAATTTTAGGTAAAATCCCTCTGTAATTAAATATACTGACAAATAATTTGCATTATTTATGAATTTTGACAACTAATTAACAATACCCATCAATTAACTCGTAAATATAACCATATTTTAGTCACTAAAAAGGATTAAATTAATATCAAAAGAAAAATTAAATTTTGATTTCTTATAAACTAAGGGATTTAAATGTTTTAGTATATTTGTAGAATTAAAGTATATTTTGTATTTGTATGAAATATAAATCAATTAATTTTATAGTTTGTTTTATTCATTAAAATAATTATTTTTATAGTGATTGTCTTAAATTTTACCATTTTTGCCCTAATTATGCATAAAAATCTAAAATAATTAAAATAGTTAATTGTTTTATTCATTAAAATAATTATTTTTATAGTGATTGTCTTAAATTTTACCATTTTTTCCATAATTATGCATAAAAATCTAAAATAATTAAAATAGTTACGAACCCATCAAATAGTTATTTATAGTTAAAATAAAACTCTCTTAAAATGGTTCTTATTACATGATTCATATGCATACTTAATCTCATGAAGTTCTTGGCTATCGCAGCAAATAGTTAAATAACTGGATTTGGATGCTTTATACATTAGTAACAAATTATGCTGGATTAGTACTGTAGATCACTTTAGTCCAGAAATGTCAGAATATAACAAATTGGATTTTCAAAATTATCTTGGAATAATACCACATTCCTATATTATAGAGAGTGAATACTATGTTTGTAGTCATAATGTAACGCAAAATGCATTTATTTCACTTCAATATAATTTTGTAATTATTATTTTTGTAATTTTAAATATCTTTTAAATTATTTTTTTAATTAAATTATGTTATGGTTAATTTTGAATGATATAAATTTGCGTAATAATATACAGTATGTTTAACTTACATTGTATGATATTAACTTAACTTTATAATTTTATATAACTAATTAATAATTATTTTTAATAATTTATCTATGATATTTATTTTTAATTATAGCCAGTGCTGGCTTTATATTATCAATGTTTAACTTACATTGTATGATATTAACTTAACTTTATAATTTTATATAACTAATTAATAATTATTTTTAATAATTTATCTATGATATTTATTTTTAATTATAGCCAGTGCTGGCTTTATATTATCTCAGTGTAATGGAATATTTGTTATGTAATCTTGGTCTTATTGTACAGATTAATAATACTAATTACATACAAATGGTATAATGTTGCAGGTTTAAAATATTAAGAAAAAACATGTTTTATAATTGTTTTACAGACAAACACAGTGTCTTAACTGAAACGACATCCATTGACACATATGAGCCTAATATAGAGGTCTTACCCATTGAACCCATTTATATGATTGAAATGATTACGGGATTACAGAATCAAAATAATTATTTGTATGTTAGTTGTGTCCGCGTTTTTGGTATTCAGGTAGAATTTAAAATTAATAAATAAATAAATACCCAAATAGAAAATTTAAAAATCTGCTTGTATTTCTATAGATTTGGACATATATAATAATATTTTTACTATTATCAGGATTATTATTAAACATGATCAGTGAGAAACAAATCAGTTGCTATAATGCATTTACTTTAATTATAATGTTATATACCTGGCAACCGAGTTTTATATTAATGAAATATGTAAAATGTGTTCAAGAATATTCTGCATTTAAAAAACATTTAACCCTGATGTTCCTGGCAATTTTGCTAATATATGCACTTATAATTGGGAAACTATTTATAGCACCATTACTTAATATGTATTCAATTGCAAAACTAACACCCTATTTTGAAACCCTTGATCAAATTAAACAAAATTGTGACATTAAAATAGCAGGGCACTTGCTTAATACGACTATTAATATTCCAGATGTGTCATACTTGCAAATCCGAGCTAGTACATCTAAAGATATAGATATTAATGTAGATTTTGAAAAATCTCAATTAAAACTTATTAAAACACTATTGAACGGCCAGTCAGTTGTGGTCACCCACACGGCAAAGAGGTCGTTATTATTAAATAATATCCTAGATGATTTAGAAATTGGTCGACACATAAGTGTTTCCGATCATAAATATTACCACAAATTTTTGCACAATTATGTGTCAAGAAATCATACATATTTTAATCGCATCTATTTAATGTAAGATTTGATTGCATACTGTATGTAAACACCGTAACCAAAAAGTATCCATTACAATTTGTTATAATTTATAACTTATAAATATAAAAACAAAGTTGAAGTATACTTTTGTTTACTGACAATTATATTTATTAATTGTGAAAATAATTTTGGAAAAATATTTTTAGTTTAAACCAATTAATGGAAAGTGGGTTTTATAAACGCAAACAAATTCTGGCGGATGTCTTACTTAAACTCATAGTTAGGCAGCGGAAAAGTGGATCGACACCTGATCCGGAACTGGACCTACTGTTGTCACAAACTCCTAAACCAATTAAATTGAGTGATATCTTCAGAAATATATGGCGGATGTCTTACTTAAACTCATAGTTAGGCAGCGGAAAAGTGGATCGACACCTGATCCGGAACTGGACCTACTGTTGTCACAAACTCCTAAACCAATTAAATTGAGTGATATCTTCAGAAATATCTTTATACTTTTATTTATGTCTTATTTTGTTTCAATAATGTGTGTTGTTATAGAAAACTATTGAAAATATATAATATTAATAATAACCATTTTCTTATCATAAATATGTAAATTACTGATACTTCTACATTAGGATAGGACTTTTAATTAACTATATTTGTTGTGGTTTAATTTGAACTGGGGTCATTTATATTTAGTGAATATATCTTATAGTGTAATTGATATAATTTATTTTATTGATTAACGCTGCTACCAATTATGATGAAATATACAATTTAAAAATAATAAACTATTAAATAGAATATTTTGTAATAATATAATACAGTATTTTATATTTAGTATAGTAAAAATAAATGAAATGATATTTTACTTTTTGTGTTGTTTTTAATTAATAATACAATGAATGTTATTATATTAGTTTTACTATTGGATAATTAAATTTCTTAATTGTCATGTCAATAATAAATATTCATAAACTTTTTCATAATAACAACAATGCTTGTAATATGATATAATTAAGTAATTGTCTTTATTGAATAATAAATATTTTTAATTAATATTTATGAATAATATTATAATAATTATTTATTGCATTCAAGACTTATATGTTATAAAGATCATTAGATATTATATATATTATTAAACTATGAATATACCATAGGTTTTATAAATATATTTATTGAGTTTTGAAATGACTGAATATTTGGAATTGGACATTAATCGTTACATTGATATTTTACCATACTCCTTTATTGTTAGGGGCGAATCGTATAAGTGCAGTCATAATGTTACACAAAATGGATTTATATCACTTCAATATAATTATGTAATCAGAAAATATCTCATATAATCATATATACTTTAAATTAATAAACATCTTTATGTTATAAATAAAATTATTATTAATCCAATAATTGCAACTTTCGCTATTTTTATATTTCATTATTGTATGATTAAAGTTTTATAAAAATTGCTTGACTAGTTTATATAGTTTATAAATATTATATATTATATAATTAATAAATTATTTTTTAAAACATGTAGGGATATTCGGCACTGTATTATCTAAGTTTCATGCAATATTTATTATGTCACCTTGGTCTTATTGTCCAGATAAATGGTGCACAAAATATCCAAACGGTATAATTTGTTTTGAAATCTACAGTATATTTAAAATTCATTTTAAATGTTGAAATTTTTATAACTTATAGACAAATACAGTGTCAGTAATTGAGACAAATTCTATGGACACATATGAGCCTAATATAGAGCTCATACCCATTGAACCCATTTATTTTATCGAGATCATTTCCGGAATAAAGAACCAGAACAATTATTTGTATTTTGGTTTTGTCTATGTGTTTGATATACATGTAAATGTGATAGCTCATTAGATTAATGTTTTTTATTAACACTCTATTATATTTATAGATTTGGGTAAATGTAGCGATAATTTTACTATTATCTGGATTATTATTAAATATGATCAGTGAGAAACAAATCAGTCGTTTTAACGCTTTTACTTGTCTTATAATGACATATACATCGCAATCGAGTTTTATGTTAAATAAATATCTAAAACATGTGGAAGTATACTCTACTATTAGGAAGCATTTAACCCTGATGTTCTTGACAATGTTACTGATATATGCACTAATTATTGGAAAGCTATTTATAGCACCACTACTTAACATGTATTCAATGGCTAAACTGAGCCCGTTCTTTGACACATTGGATGATATTAAAGAAAACAGTGACGTAAACGTAATCGTAGCATACCCAACCATTTTTGGTAATTTTACGCACAATATATCGGATGTGACTTATTTGCAAAATAGGGCCAACAAATATGGCAAATTAGATATTGCCCACCATTATAAGAAAATTCAGCACACCATCATAAGACTATTAATGAGGGGACAGGCAGTAATAGTGGTCCACTCGACACTTAGATCTCCATTATTAAACAACGTCTTAAATGAGTTAGAAGTAGGAAAACACATACATGTGTCCGATCATAGATATTATCCAACATTTTCGTACAATTATGTGTCAAAGGATCATAAATATCATCGAAATATTTGTATCATGTAAGGTTTATTATTTTGTAAAATTATGAATTATGAAATGTAAAAATAACTTTTTGTTTATCTATGTATTGTTTATCATTTATGTGTAGATTGAAACAGATTATGGAAAGTGGGTTCTATGTGCACAAACAGATCATGCTCAATTTTATTATCAAGCAATTGGTGAAACACAATAGGAAGAAATCATCGACACCCCGGTTATCGTTGGATTATTTATTACCACAAACTCATAAACCTATTAAATTGAGCGAGATGTTCAGGAATGTTTTTATCCTTTTATTGTTATGTTATTGTATTTCGTTAATTTGTTTTGTAATAGAGAGTTATCTCCAACATTATTATTATGCATAAAATATTAATTATTTTTGAATTAATAAACAAATTAATATTATTTAATTAAATAATAAAATATGATGATGCCTGACATATTGATATATTGATTGATTTATTAATGTTATATTAATACAGTATATTAAAAACTTAATTATGTTATGCAAATTATTTAATTTAACAAATTGACTACTTTTCCATTGTATTAAATACTCTGAAATTTTATATGATTACTTTCGTAATATCGATATAAATCTTTTGGTGTTGTCAAAGTACTAAAAGTACTTTTATAATTATATTGTGAAACTAAATATATTTTATTTAATTCATTCTTATGGAATAATTTTGCTATTACGATAATACATAATAAAATGTTAGTAGTTTTATTCTAATCAGGGTGTAACTTCTAATGGGGCTAATAATCCTATAGGGGGTTTATTTAAACAGGGAGCTGACACTCTGGGACAGGGAGCTAGTTCCATTTTTGGAGGGGCTCAGAATTTGTTTGGACAGGGATTAGGAGGTGGTTTGCCCCCATTGTAATCTTTATTCTGTATATTATTTGGTGCATTGATGTACTCTTTGGTGTGATTTGTGATAAAATACTCATTCGTTTGAATATTCTTTAAATGAAAATATTATTATTCAAAACAATTTATATAATTATTGCAAACATAATATGAAAATTTACTCAATTTATATATTTTTTGTTTATATTTAATAATATAATACTTTTGCTGATAATTCTTATGCTTGAAATAATATTATATACCAAATACTGTATCGTGTATATGTTTGTAAATTTACTTATTTACGGTATTACATAATAAACAGTTATAACAAAGAAATACTTGTAATATAACTAAGTTAAGTTATTATGAAATTTGATGAATTAAAATATAAATGTATTATTCTTTTTATATCTCCATGATCCTTTGTGCAACAAAACTGTTTTATAAACGCAAACAAATTCTGCCGGATGTCTTACTTAAACTAATAGTTAGGCGGCGGAAAAGTGGATCAACACCTGATCCGGCACTGGACCTACTGTTATCACAAACTCTTAAACCAATTAAATTGAGTGATATCTTCAGAAATATTTTTATACTTTTATTTATGTCTTATTTTGTTTCAGTAATTTGTGTTGTTATAGAAAACTATTTTTAAATATTTATATTAATAATAACTATTTTCTTACCATAAATGTGTAAATTACTGATACTTCTACATTAGGATAGGACTTTTAATTAGCTATATTTGTAGTGAGTTAATTTGGACTGGGGTCATTTATATTTAGTGAATATATTTTCAGTATAATTGAGATAATTTATTTTATTGATTAACACTGCTACCAATTATGATGAAATGTACAATTTTAAAAAATAAACTATTAAATAGAATATTTTGTAATATAATACAGTATTTTATATTTAGTATAATAAAAATAAATGAAATGATAAGATTCAATAAATTTTAATATTTTCCCCATTTATCTGATATTAAAAATATGTTATTGAAAAAACATATCAAATGAAATGATATTTTACTTTTTGTGTTGTTTTTAATTAATAATACAATGAATGTTTTTATGTTAGTTTTACTATTGGAAAATTAAATTTTATAAATGTCTTGTCAATAATAAATATTCATAAACATTTTCATAATAACAACAATGCTTGTAATATGATATAATTAAGTGATTGTCTTTATTGAATAATAAATATTTTTAATTAATATTTATGAATAATATTATAATAATGATTTATTGCATTAAAGACTTATATGATATAAAGATCATTAGATATTATATATATTATTAAACTATCAATATACCGTAGATTTTATAAATATATTTATTGAGTTTTGAAATGACTGAATATTGGGAATTGGACATTATACGTTACATTGATATTTTACCATACTCCTTTATTGTTAGGGGTGAATCGTATAAGTGCAGTCATAATGTTACACAAAATGGATTTATAACCCTTCAATATAATTATGTAATCAGAAAATATCTCATATAATCATATATACTTTAAATTAATAAACATCTTTTATGTTATAAATAAACTTATTATTAATCCAATAAGTCCAATCTTTTGCTATTTTTATATTTCATTATTGTATGATTTAAAGTTTTATAAAAATTGCTTGACTAGTTTATATAGTTTATAAATATTATATAATTAATAAATTATTTTTACCAACATATAGGGATATTCGACACTGTATTATCTAAGTTTCATACAATATTTATTATGTCACCTTGGTCTTATTGTCCAGATAAATGATACACAAAATATCCAAACGGTATATTTTTTTGAAATCTACAGTATATTTAAAATTCATTTTAAATAATGATATTTTTATAACTTATAGACAAATACAGTGTCAGTAATTGAGACGAATTCTATGGACACATATGAGCCTAATATAGAGCTCATACCCATTGAACCCATTTATTTTATCGAGATCATTTCGGGATTAAAGAACCAGAATAATTATTTGTATTTTGGTTTTGTCTATGTGTTTGATATAAATGTAAATGTGATAGCTCATTAGTTTAATTATTTTTATTAACACTCTATTATATTTATAGATATGGGTAAATGTAGCGATATTTTTACTATTATCTGGATTATTATTAAATATGATCAGTGAGAAACAAATCAGTCGTTTTAACGCGTTTACTTGTCTTATAATGACATATACATCGCAATCAAGTTTTATATTAAATAAATATCTAAAACATGTAGAAATATACTCTACTATTAGGAAGCATTTAACCCTGATGTTCTTGACAATTTTACTAATATATGCACTAATTATTGGAAAGCTATTTATAGCACCACTACTTAACATGTATTCAATGGTTAAACTGAGCCCGTTCTTTGATACATTGGATGATATTAAAGAAAACAGTGACGTAAACGTAATCGTAGCATACCCAACAATGTTAGGTAATTTTACGCACAATATATCGGATGTGACTTATTTGGAAAATAGGGCCCAAAAATATGGTAAAAATATTCTCCACAGTTATGAGAAAATTCAGCAACCCATCATTACACAATTAATGGGGGGACAGGCAGTAGTGGTGGTCCACTCGACACTTAGACCTCTATTATTAAACAATATCTTAAATGAGTTAGAAGTAGGAAAACACATACATGTGTCCGATCATAGATATTATCCCACATTTTCGTACAATTATGTGTCAAAAGATCATAAATATCATCGAAATATTTGTATCATGTAAGATTTATTATTTTTTAAAACTATGAATTATTAATTGTAAAAGTAATTTGTGTTTATTTATGTATACATTTATGTGTAGATTGAAACAGATTATGGAAAGTGGGTTCTATGTGCACAAACAGATCATGCTCAATTTTATTATGAAGGAATTGGTGAAATACAATAGGAAGAAATCATCGACACCCCGGTTATCGTTGGATTATTTATTACCACAAACTCATAAACCTATTAAACTGAGCGAGATGTTCAGGAATGTTTTTATCCTTTTATTGTTATGTTATTTTATTTCGTTAATTTGTTTTCTAATAGAAAGTTATCTCCAACATTATTATTATGCATAAAATATTAATTATTCTTGAATTAATAAACAAATTAATTTTATAGAATTAAATAATATATTTTATACGATGATGCCTGACATATTGATATATTGATTGATTTATGAATGTTATATTAATACAGTATATTAACAACTTAATTATGTTATGAAAATAATTTAATTTAATAAATTGACTACTTTTCCATTGTGTTAAATACTCTGAGATTTAATATGATTACTTTCCTAAGTATCGATATAAAACTTTTGGTGTTTTCAAAGTACTAAAAGTACTTTTATAATTATATTGTGAAACTAAATATATTTTATTTAATTCATTCTTATGGAATAATTTTGCTATAACGATAATACATAATAAAATGTCAGTAGTTTTATTCTAATCAGGGTGCAACTTTAAATATTTTATTAAACCTTTTAATTGCGAAAGTGTAAAGTGTATGGAGAGGGAAAGGTGTCCCAAATCATACACCTCTCGTGTGATCAAGAGTTATGGCGAAAGTGTAATCGGTTTACCTCTCAATCAAATCTGCGGGACGGCTGCCGACCGCAAGAGTCGGTGTCCACCCTCTCGCGGCTCCAAACCCAAGAAGAAGGGCAACCAAAAGCCTAAACGCGCCGGTAGTCAAGAGCCGGTTGACCCATCCGGAGCATTTCAACCCGTTAGAGGTATATTTAACAGTGGAACTGGAGGTTTAGGAGGTGGTGACCCATTTGGTGGCGTAAGAAGCGTGTTTCAGAGGGGCACAGATACCATAGGACAGGGAGCCTCTGGTATATTAAATAGAGGGGCAGGTGGATTAGGTGGTGCCAATCCATTGGGTGCTGTCAACCCATTAGGTGCTACCAATCCATTTGGTGGAGTGGGATCACTGTTTCAAACAGGTGTCGATACTGTAGGACAGGGAACTTCGTCCTTGTTTGGTGGTGGGGCTGGAGGTTCAGGTTCTAGAAGGTCCGGGGCTAATGGGGCTGATAATCCTATAGGAGGGCTATTTAAACAGGGAGCTGGCACTCTAGGACAGGGAGCTAGTTCCATTTTTGGAGGGGCTCAGAATTTGTTTGGACAGGGTTTGGGTGGTTTACCCCCATTGTAATCATTATTCTGTATATTATTTGATGCATTGATGTACTCTTTGGTGTCATTTGTGGTAAAATATTCATTCGTTTGAATATTCTTTAAATGAAAATATTATTATTCAAAACAATTTATATAATTATTGCAAACATAATATGAAAATGTACTCAATTTATATATAGTTTTTTGTTTTTATTTAATAACATAATATTTTTGCTGATAATTCTTGTATTTAGAATAATATTATTTACCAAATATTGTATCGTGTATATGTTTGCAAATTTACTTATTTACGGTATTACATAATAAAAAAGTTATAACAAAGAAATACTTGTAATATAACTAACTTAAGTAATTATGAAATTTGATGAATATTTATGAAAATATAAATGTATTACTCTTTTTATATCTCCATGGTCCTTTGAGCAACAATACTCTAACAAGTGATTTTGGTAGTGTAATAATTAATAAACATTTATAAACTATCCTTATATTACTAAATATTAATTGAAATGGTTAAACACGTGGTAAAATTGTTAAAATTATTTTAAAATTATATTTATTCAAATACTATTATATAGATTTAAAATCTAATAGATGATGTTTAAATATTTTTTATAATAGTAAGTTATATTTATTCTTCATATTTACACAAACAAAATATAAGCAATACTTTTTGAATATTTATATGAATTTAATTAAGTTTTGTATGGTTGTTAATATAAATTTTCATTTTATGTAATTTTAATTATTTTATTCTTTTAATAAAATAATTAATTTTTAATAATTAATGAATACTAGTATAACTTTAGTTGAAATGTCTTGTTATTTATTTATTTTCATATATATAACAATTTTATAACTACATCTACTGGTGATTTGTTTTAAGTTTACTTGAACTTAGAATTGTATAATATAAGTTATATTATAATATATAACACTTTCCCGATCATGTGTAGTTCATTTTCAATATAAAGTTAATACAATACAAAGTTTTCAATACAAATTAACTTTAAATATAAAGATACATTAGTAACAAATTATGCTTGATTAGTACTGTAGATCACTTTAGTCCAGAAATGTCAGAAAATAACAAATTGGATTATCAAAATTATCTTGGTATAATACCATATTCCTATATTATAGAGAGTGAATACTATGTTTGTAGTCATAATGTAACGCAAAATGCATTTATTTCACTTCAATATAATTTTGTAATTATTAATTTTTTAAATTTTAAATATCTTTTAAATTATTTTTTTTAATTAAATTATGCTATGGTTAATTTTGAATGATGTAAATTTGCGTGATAATATACAGTATGTTTAACTTACATTGTATGATATTAACTTAACTTTATAATTTTATATAACTATTTAATAATTATTTTTACTAATTTATCTATGATATTTATTTTTAATTATAGCCTGTGCTGGCTTTATATTATCTCAGTGTAATGGAATATTTGTTATGTAATCTTGGTCTTATTGTACAGATTAATAATACTAATTACATACAAATGGTATAATGTTGCAGGTTTAAAATATTAAGAATAAAACATATTTTATATTTGTTTTACAGACAAATATGAGCCTAATATAGAGGTCTTACCCATTGAACCCATTTATATGATTGAAATGATTACGGGATTACAGAATCAAAATAATTATTTGTATTTTAGTTGTGTTCGTGTTTTTGATATTCAGGTAAAATTTAAAATTAATACAGTAAATAAACCCAAATATAAAATTTAAAAAAAACCTGCTTGTATTTCTATAGATTTGGACATATATACTTATATGTCCTAATATTTTTACTATTATCAGGATTATTATTAAACATGATCAGTGAGAAACAAATCAGTTGCTATAATGCATTTACTTCAATTATAATGTTATATACCTGGCAACCGAGTTTTATATTAATGAAATATGGAAAATGTGTTGAACAATATTCTGCATTTAAAAACTATTATACTCGATGTTCCTGACAATTTTGCTAATATATGCACTTATAATTGGGAAATTATTTATAGCACCATTACTTAATATGTATTCAATTGCAAAACTAACACCTTATTTTGAAACCCTTGATCAAATTAAACAAAATGGTGACATTAAAATAGCAGGGCACTTGCTTAATACGACTATTAATATTCCAGATATGTCATACTTGGAAAACAGAGCTAGTACATCTAAAGATTTAGAAATTGGTCGACACATAAGTGTTTCCGATCAAAAATATTACCCCAGATTTTTGAACAATTATGTGTCTAGAAATCATACATATTTTAATCGCATTTTTTTAATTTAAGAATTGATAGCATATGTTAACACTGTAACCAAAAAGTATCAATTACTATTTGTTATAATTTATAACTTATAAATATAAAAACAAGGTTGAAGACTACTTTTTGTTTACTAACAGTTATATTTATTAATTGTGAAAATAATTTTGGAAAAATATTTTTAGTTTAAACCAATTAATGGAAAGTGGGTTTTATAAATACAAACAAATTCTGGCGGATGTCTTACTTAAATTCATAGTTAGGCGGCAGAAAAGTGGATCGACACCTGATCCGGCACTGAACCTACTGTTGTCACAAACTCCTAAATCAATTAAATTGAGTGATATCTTCAGAAATATTTTTATACTTTTATTTATGTCTTATTTTGTTTCAGTAATTTGTATTGTTATAGAAAACTATTTGAAAACATTTAATAATAATAATGACCATTTTCTTACCATAAATATGTAAATTACTGATACTTCTACATTAGGATAGGACTTTTAATTAACTATATTTGTTGTGGGTTAATTTGGAGTGGGGTCATTTACACTATAATTAGTGAATATATTTTATAGTATAATTGATATAATTTATTTTATTGATTAACGCTGCTACCAATTATGATGAAATATACAATTTAAAAATAATAAACTATTAAATAGAATATTTTGTAATATAAAATACAGCATTTTATATTTAGTATAGTAAAAATAAATGAAATGATATTTTACTTTTTGTGTTGTTTTTAATTAATAATACAATGAATGTTATAATATTAGTTTTACTATTGGATAATTAAATTTCATAATTGTCATGTCAATAATAAATATTCATAAACTTTTTCATAATAACAACAATGCTTGTAATATGATATAATTAAATAATTGTCTTTATTGAATAATAAATATTTTTAATTAATATTTATGAATAATATTATAATAATGATTTATTGCATTTAAGACTTATATGTTATAAAGATCATTAGATATTTGATATATTATTAAACTATCAACATACCATAGGTTTTATAAATATATTTATTGAGTTTTGAAATGACTGAATATTTGGAATTGGACATTACACGTTACATTGATATTTTACCATACTCCTTTATTGTTAGGGGTGAATCGTATAAGTGCAGTCATAATGTTACACAAAATGGATTTATAACCCTTCAATATAAATATGTAATCATAATCTCATAATCATATATACTTTAAATTGATAAACAACTTTTACGTTATAAATAAAATTATTATTAATCCAATAAGTCCAATCTTTTGCTATTTTTATATTTCTTTATTGTATGATTTAAAGTTTTATAAAAATTGCTTGATGATTATATAGTATATAAATATTATATAATTAATAAATTATTTTTAAAAACATATAGGAATATTCGGCATTGTATTATCTAAGTTTCATGCAATATTTATTATGTCATCTTGGTCTTATTGTCCAGATAAATCATACACAAAATATACAAACGGTATAATTTGTTTTGAAATCTACAATATATTTAAAATACATTTTAAATGTTGAACTTTTTTATAACTTGTAGACAAATACAGTGTCAGTAATTGAGACGAATTCTATGGACACATATAAGCCTAACATAGAGCTCATACCCATTGAACCCATTTATTTTATCGAGATCATTTCCGGAATTAAAAACCAGAAGGATTATTTGTATTTTGGTTTTGTCTACGTGTTTGATATAAATGTAAATGTGATAGCTCATTAGTTTAATTTTTTTATTAACACTCTATTATATTTATAGATTTGGGTAAATGTAGCGATATTTTTACTATTATCTGGATTATTATTAAATATGATCAGTGACAAACAAATCAGTCGTTTTAACGCTTTTACTTGTCTTATA